TGTATATATATATATATATATATATATATATATATATATATATATATATATATATATATATATATATATATATATATATATATATATATATATATATATATATATATATATAGGGAGGTACCACCTCTAGAACTGTTATAGGGACCCTCATCCTCAGAGAAAAGAATAAACTTGCTTCTCCCTGAAGCTGTTTGAGAATTTTCTCCTACCACCCCTATATTGTATTTATATTTTATTTAAAGTCAAAATACATTGACAAAACATTCACAAAAATACGATAGAAAGCAAAACAACGTAGGTGACTCAGAGCTACATCTCGAATACTTCGTCCAGCTCCCCGGTGGTGGGCCGCGTGCCCAGAATGCTGCAGGCATTTCCTCTCTGGATTGCAGCACTGAGTCTCTGAAAGATGATGCTGGTCGCCCTGTGGTCCTTGGTTTCTATAATGAGCTTTTCACCCAGCTATATTAGGAACTTTAGAGCACACTTGCCCCATGCTCCAAGGGTCTCCGTCCCTATTGGGATGAAGTTATAGCAAGGGGGAAGGTCTTCATATTTGCCGATCTTCTGGGTCTCCCTGTGGCTGGCAGCTCCACCCCCTTCCACTACGGAGTATGGCAAGTAGGTTATTATTATTAAAGATTAGCCGGTATTCTCCCGGCCCGGGCCTTTTCCAAGTGGTGGCCCGGCCTTGGCTCCCTCTTTAGGGAGTGTCTGAGACCTAAGTCTCCCATGGGAGGAGGCACAAGTACCTCCTCATCTTAGGGACCAACTGTCCCCAGGCCTAGCCACAAGCTAGGCCTCTCTGGTCTGCCATCCCCGCCCCAAGGGGGCTAATGGGAATGACAGTCTTATGAGCTAAAGGCTCGGGCTCAGGCACCTACCCTTCCCTAGAAGGGTTAGGCATTGTATCGATCTGGCAAGTAGGTGTCTGCCAATGTGGCAGCACATGTGTAGTCCCAGGCAATCTGCTTTCCATCCTTCCAAGGTAGCATAGTGGCTCCATCAGGACGCTTTTGACTTCCGTCAGACCTCTGCTCTTGGGGTTCCCGTTGAGCTGGGCAACGGGCTGTGGCGAGGCTTCTCTCTATGATGTCATTGACCTCCTCATGCCTGGCATACTTCCCTTCTGCTGTGTGACACACGAGACCATGAAGTCCGAATTGATCAGCTGTCGCCCTGCCGCAAATACACCTATGTTCGGTGAGGATGGGGGCGGCTAGGCGAAGAGCAACACCAATCATTTATTCTGTTCAGACTGATTTCCGCAGATTTATGATCTAAACAAATTTTCCTTCTACTTATTTGGCCAAATAGCTCATGTTAACTTTCTGTATTTGTGGTTTCCATACTTTAATAAAGTAGTCAAGGGTGCAGGTGGTTAGCACTTTTAATTAACAGCTGGTAAGTTTTGAACTATAAGAGTGAAAATACTTCCAACGACGCGTCGCAATATTTGAGTTCATAAAATTATTAATGATACAAGAAAAAAAAATTGAATACTGAAAGAATGACAGTTAGCCGACACGCAGTAAGGACTCAAAGTAATATTTTTTTTTTTTAAACAACTGACTTGTGTTCGCAAATTTTAGGTGGAAAATTTCACATATATGTAGGTAAAGTTGTGTTGCATTGTCACATTTTCCCTCCTGATTTCTTTCTTCCCAAGGATGAACTTTTTCCCAACTCCTCTCTCTCCACTCCAGAAACTCCTCTTCAGGCTTCTACTCAGGCAGACCCTTCTCCTTCCACCCATATGCCAAAATCCTTTCCTTCTAATCCTTCCACCAGCTCTGGCTCCAACACCAAACAATCTCAACCTCATTCTTCCTCTACTCGTCCTTCTCGTTCTCCTACTCTCAAGTCTCGACCTCCTACTATGGAACAACAGTATACCAACTCTCCCGGATTCAACAAATGTCTGGATGACGTTCAGCACTTAATGAATCAAGCCTCGCCCTCGCCCTCTCCCTCTCGCCCCAACTCATCCTCTCATCTTCACACTACATCTGCTCCCACCTCCTACTCCAGGCCCCTCTCACCTTCCCCTTCCCGTTCTCAATCCAGAAACCGTAAAACACAACCGACCAAATATAGATCAGGTGCTGGTACACACATGATCATATGATCCGGCACCTCCACCACAATACAAATAAACTACCTGACTTTTGCTTAAATATTCAAATAACTTAAAAGTGACATTGTCGTAGAGCTGTGTCTTTGTGCGTTTTTCGGGCTGAAGTGCTTGCGATGTGCGTTTGCATCGCCTTTGCTGTAACGTGTCCCTGAACCGTATCCAGTCATTGCAAGTTGATATGCTTCCTGCAAGTTGCAGTCAGCACCCGCAGAGTCCCTGTTGTCTTTTTTGTCGTCTTCGTTATTGTTTATCCAGGCTTAGCAGTTGGGTCTAGTCCTGACTCTTCTCTCTTCGACTCAAGACATTCCTCTCACCGTCTATTCTTCGCACTGTCCCCACTTGCCCCTCGCCCCTCGTGGGTCCTTACCTGTGAGTCCTTCACGTTCACGTGCATTGTCATTTACCAATAAAATATATTAAACAGGGTAACTGAAATAAAACACAAATGCGATAAAAAGTTTTGAAGTGACCAAAGAAAACTGGAGCCCACTTTGAGCATTAGGAAATAAGTGCTCCACAGCTTTATAAGCACTGATTAAGGCTCCTTATCTGGTCGCCCATTTAACTGTCTTATCAACTGTCAAGTATCGATGGCTGATTAGCTGAGAGGATTGGCATGATTGTTTTTCTACAGAGAATACTTAATCTGTAGAAAATTCCACCATAGATGTCAAAGCCAAACCTGTGTTACTGTTTAAAATTATTCTGAAAAACTAGAGGTAAAAATATTGAGTTCCGTAAGAGACGGGGCTTCCTAAAATCCCTTAAGATTACTAGAGATGGCGAATGGCACCGTAAATACAATGCAATTAGTGAAACTCTTTTATGGTCAAGGTTCAAAACGACGTTATCTGACAGCAGATAGACTCTGAACGCTCATTATGATGCTAAAAGTACATATTTGAATTCTTAAAAATTTGTTACTGACCAAACAGATGAGAAATATTCTGCATGTAAATATCCCTCTTTAAACACAACGTGATTTTATGTTCTTCGTAATGTAAATAGATAATAATATTAAATATTAGAGGTACTTTTAATATCAGAGAGATATTTAAGGTGTCTATGTTAATGTGTGCTAAGGGTTATTCCGTCTTTATCGCCATATAAAATTTTCGCAGGTTCTTCACGACACGATTTGGGAAATTCTTTTGAGACCAAATACCGCGGACCAGTCTTATGCCTTCAAGACATATATAAAAAAGGAGGTGTTGCTGGCTGCTATACTGGCTTTAATTCAATGTTCTTAAGGTAAATGAAAATTTATTAAGCAAATATTCTTTATAAGTATAATATTAGAACAAAGTTTTGCAACTTTGAAACTTGATAAGTTTCAAAGTTTGGTGAAGGTATACCTAAAACTTTTATAAGTTATGCGACTGTCTTCGTTTTGTCACAGTTACTAAACAAAATCAAATTTAATAATAAAGAATGTTATTTATTTTTTTTTTACTGAAGGATGAATTTTATTATGCAAAATAATTTGTTGCATTGCTCATGCAAACATCTTGAATTTATTCTTGTTTTGTCAGGGAGATTAATATAAAAGCAATATGGTTGATCAGACGCTGATCCACCACGAAGCCTGGTCTCAGACCGGGCCGCGGGGGCGTTGATCTCCGAAATCCTCTCCTGGTATACTTCAGGTAGAATAAAGCTTTCTTATTCGTATAAGTTACATTCCTAGGAAACACTGTGAGTGGAGGTTAGGCTGACGAGTTGGACTTTAACGTGCCTTAATTCCTCTTGATACTTTTCTCATTCTGTGCTTAGGAGCCATTATTGAACAGAGTAACATAATAATAGAAGCGAGCACGTAAGCAAGCAAAATGAGGAGAAAGACATAAGGAATAAGAAATAAGGAAACAAAGAGAAAAGAAACTAAGGAGGCTAGTTAGTACATTTAATGGCAATGTAAGTGAGGCATACTCCAAGCACTTTATAATTTATTTGTGCATCACACAACAACTTCATGCATTTCTTCTAGTCAGCCAAGCTGACTGTGTAATTGTTGGAACCCCCACCTGCACTGTGGATAACTCTCTGGTTCCTATGTCAAATAATCAGGGTAAAGGGTTGAGTCCATAACCCCCTAATCTGGACTCAGTTTCTCTTTTGTTAAGGATGAGTACGCATACCGATCTCTATTGTATGAGTTATAAGAGCGCCTGTAGTCTTGGTTGCAGTTGGGAATATATGTAAAAATCGAAAAAAAGGTCAGAAAATTAGCTAAGCTTACAGAAAAGTAGTTCTAAGACCTGGCAACATTTTGGTGTATATTTCATTTTCCTACGATGTATGAAGAATGAGAGACTTGTGCAACGTTTTGGAATCTTTCTTGAGGAAACGTTTCGCCAGCCAGTGGCTTCTTCAGTCCAATACGCATTGGACTGAAGAAGCCACTGGCTGGCGAAACGTTTTCTCAATAAAGATGCCCAAATATTATGTGTCTCTTACTTGAACTTGTCGGTTTTCTAAGCCATTTACTACGACGTTTCTATAGCGAATTATAACATTTAACAAGATGACGTCACAGGTAATATGTCCCTCTGAAGGTAGTGAATTTTCGGCATTTTTTTTTTTACCAATTTTTATATATTTTTTCTCACAGTGTGAGGGAGAAGCTATGAACCGTCTCGTTGGAGATACAGTGACGCTATTATTGACATTTTCTTTAATTCATCTTTGACGTATTTTGCAAAATTATATAAAAGATACAGTAAATAACATATAATATAGATAACTATATCAGAAAAAGCTGACATATTGTAAGGTGTAGCAGGCGGACACTATGGAAGGAGTTTATACAAGTAATTGTAATAGGGCGTTCTCTCTGGTCCACTGACACCGGAGAAAATCTGCGTATACTGCCCAGGATTACTGTAAAAATACTCCTTTCATATGCCTTTTCTCTCTCTCTCTCTCTCTCTCTCTCTCAAAAAAGGGGAAAAAATTAATACATGGGGTTGAATGTTAGAATTTCCGTATCATTTAAACTGGCAGTAAATGATTCTGAGATAAGACTGATCTGTATCGAGATTTTACGTATTTCAACTTCGAAAATTGAGAACTTTGAAAAGTGAAACAAATCCATAAGCAAAATATTTTAAATTATCATATTAGTCATTTGGAAGACACTGAAATCTATCGGCCTCTCCTCCTTGTATTTGTTTGTTAATATTTCATTGCTAGAGATCAATTATTTTCATTCGGAGGTCGAGTAGAATCTCCATAATAGGCTTGAATGTATTTTGAAAGAGCCTCATTTCTTTTGCAGTCGCATTAAGATCGGAAAAACGTTTCTGGAAGTTTATTTTGAGCTCAAACATGTGTCATAAAGGAGATCTGGTCTCGTATACGAACTCTTCACAGCATGAAAAGTGTGTGAAACAGTTCATGTGTCTTAATCTCATCAGTTCATCATCAGTTGAGACTCCAAGAACGTTTGTGTCGAAATGTTTGCACCTCGGTACAAGTGCCGCAGATAAGCGCAGTTTCTCCTTGCAAGCTGAGACTGAATTAAGATATATTGTCAAGTCTGCTGATAAAGCTAATTTCGAAAAGTATTCAGGATTTAATAGTAGTGGCTGAATATGGTTCTTCTCGTTCAGAAAAAAATCAATCTCATCCTTAAGCTCCAGAACTTCTAACATGTCAGATATCCTCGATAGACTAATCCTTCCTCGACATACGATTCATTAACAGGTGACTTCACTTCACATGACCCTACATGATTCATCTAGCTTCGGTCCGCTATATATTCCCAGCTGGAGAAATGTCTCATAATAAAATGCGCGATATGTTGCAGATATGTTTTTTTTTTTCCAGAGATTGTAAGTAATAAAATCAAATTTAGAATTATCTGTACATTATCAATTTAATAATTAATTTAGTAGCGAAGCTGCTCTTAGACAGGCAAGAATGGTTGTATTTTACTAAAAGAACATCTTTCATGCTTATGGATAAAATGTTTTTTAAATATTTAGAACGAAAGTTCTAACATTAATATTACGTAAATATTTATTTAAAAGTTGAAACAGCATTCTGCCAACAACAGTAAGTAAAAGACACTGCAGGAAAAACTTTCACTGGGACAAAATTTCACTCTGAGTAAACCTTTATTAAGTCAAACCTTTATTATGTTAGGTGAAAGCCAGTGTTGTAATAGGTTCCTTTTATTTCCATACATTTTATTAGAAATATAATAACACTGTAATATAATTTTTTATTTAAAAAATAATGATCTTTATTTACAACCATCACAAAAAAGGCATCATCAAAACGTCTTTATATAAGTCTTGACAAGGCCACTCATCTTCCATGATGTTTTCCAATGTTTATCTTGATAGAGAAAATATTAAGGTCACGTTGCGAATACACACATTATAAATGGTCCCCAAACCATGCCCCAGCCGGGATTGAACCCGCGGTCAGAGAGTCTCAAAACTCCAGCCCGTCGCGTTAGCCAAATGGTCCCCCTCCAAGGGGGTCCATTTACAATGTCTGAAGCTGAAAAGTGCATTTGATACAAGAAATTAGCGATTATCTCTCATTTTATGGATCAAGTCTGATTTTCTTGCATTCTTCAAGCATTGTATAAGTCCTACGGGTTAGCGTTTTTCTGTGAAAAAAGGAATATAAATACATTAAGGCAATCTGTTTTTTTATGGATTTTATGAATCAATAATCCATTAGCCTCTAATTATTCCCAAAATATTTCACTTTTAATGCTGTGTTCTTCCTCAGGGATGTGCCTTCTTTTGGCTTGTATATGTTACTCTATGAAGAATTCACCACAAAAGTCATTAGTTTAGAGCAGAGTGCAAGTCTGTATGCTGTGGTATTATGTGGTGGCATGGCAGGTAAAAAAGTCTTCATGCTGTGGTATTATGGGGTGGCATGGCAGGTAAGAAAGTCATCATGCTGTGGTATTATGTGGAGTCATAGCAGCTAAGAAAGACATCATGCTGTGGTATTATGCGGAGTCATAGCAGGTAAGAAAGTTGTCATTCACCGCTTTCAGGATTAGGAAATGCATGAATACAGTAAAAAGTTCAACCTTAACTTTTAAATTTGTTAAAAGATATCCTTGAAGGGGGTAGGAATAAGTATCAATTTGCCATTTTTGATGAATATAATGGTATTAATTTTATTCATCAATATAAGACTGTTTTTTCTGATCGGCTTTAAAATGTTACTGCCGGTGCAGTCTGTAAGAGATGATAACCGATAAGTTTTGCTCCAGTAGCTGCAAATTTAATATTTTTCCGAAACTGTTTAAAAAGTTGGAATTAGATCAATTATCGGAGAATGCATTTTCTGATTGCCTTCAAACTTTTCCCATTGATAGGTTTTACTAAGACAAAGATTGTCACTCACCTTAAACTGTGTAAATTTCATTTTGCCAGTGTTATTAAGTAAATCATTTCCCATATTTAACTTAAGAAAGCCTCTAAATGCTAGTGTACCTTAATTGGAAGTCATTTTTTTTATATTTATTTTTAGCTGTGTGGAGGCCATTTTGCCCATTTTATAAAACTAGATTTTATTAAAAAAAATAAAAATTTAATATTTTGTCTAACAAGATTTTATAAAATTTTAAATAGAAAGTAAATAAAAAAAGAATACTCGAAAAAATCCAAATATTATTTTTCGGAATTTCCTGAACAACAATTTCATCTAGTTTCTCACACATTTTCGTTTATTACTTGAAAACGCCTTATTCGATCGGCTTCAAATTTTTAATACTGGCATAATATATCTTGGGCAAGATTCACTGGGGTATTTGCATACGTAGGTGCTCTATGCATGAAAATTAGGTTTTCGCACTGTAATTGAAGAAAAACCTCCGATCGACTTCAAAATTTCAAGACTGGTGCATCCTACTTAAAAGACGGTTGATGTATTTAACTGAGTGTGTGGATTCAAATGTTCCTCTTCTGATCTCGAGATGACATAGTACAACCTCTCCTCACTTGTTTACCAACGACGCGGACTTACCACAGGCTCTCTGACAGTATGCATACCAAAATAATGTAAATTAGAGCTGATTTCTTCTGTTCTGTTCATTACAATATACAGTACACTACTGTATAAACATTTAACAATATACCAGAAAATATTATAAATGTTGCAAAACAATATCAAAGATGACCGACACAAACCCGCTACCATTATAGTATACTCCTCACTTAGCGACGAATTCTTTTACCGACGAGGTCTTGGGAATGGAACTCCGTCGTTAAGTGAGGAGAGGCTGTATTATTTTACATTACTTCTTTATGTCGCCTTAATTCTGTCAAGTGGCTCTTGATCCAAGGAAATGTACTTGTCTTTCCCATTCCACAAACTCTCTATGACCCTTAGGGGTTTAGTGCTTTCTCACCCCCACTAAAATATAACTGGTAACGGCATCAGTTTTCTTTGGCTGATGCACAGTATGAAATAGATGAAATATTTCATGGGTTTAGGCCTTGTAGCTGCATATATTGTGGGATTCTGTAACTGAAAAATACATCTTCTGGTGAGTTTTAAACTTTTAGTGTTGAAGTGTTTTCCTCAGACGAAGCAACATCTTTTGTTGTTAGATTGTGTAAGTTATAATGAGGCAGTTTTATTACTTAAATTGGTTTCTGTGAAATAAATGGTGAATGTCTCTTCTGGTCAGAAATATGTTAATGTTTGACTTTATCCGCTAATCCTAAGTTAAATCGACTTAATACTCTTTTATGTGTTTGTAACATCTGTGTGTGCAGTGAAGATCATTGTTAAAAATTTGTATGTTATATACACTAAGATTACATAAAAGTTACTTACTTTCTTATATATTATATCTACTTTCTTCAGTCTTACTTAAAAAAGTTGGGATTGATTTTGGCGTATGTATGTACCAGTTTGCTTTTCTGGGAAGAAATTGGAAAAGCTGAAATGCTTCTTTTCATAATGTCACAACGATTTCCTTCAACCTTTCAACATTGATAACTTAATGCAACTTCTGAGCAGATTAAGAATTAGATTTGGGCTATTTTTTAATTCGATTTTTTGGGGGGAAAGAAATTTGTATATTTGTTCCATACAATGACTTGTGAACTTTTTCTGATTTCAAATCTTCGCGCTAATATTTCACTGCATTACCAGTTTTTGCCACACTGCACTATTCCAATCGAGTGCCTTGAGACACCGGGGACTTGGGATATGGAAAACGGGTCTACCTTACTTGGATAGCTCAGTGACCAAAATACATCTAGTTACATTTAAATTTAAAATAATAATAACAGAATATTTGAAAAAGTATACTTCCAATAACCAATAAACAAATACAATCAAGATCAACTAATGAGAAAACTTTAGCAGGGAAAAAACAACTATTTTATGGTAAACAATGGCACTGTCCAAATAGTATCCAGTCCAGTTTTTATTCTCATTTTTGTGTGTGTGTGTGTATTAGGTTTATTTTTTTTAGATTTTCACAGTATATGATAATTTTTTTCCAAGTGCAATCTGGTCGCTGAGTATGGTGGCTTAACTAGCTTAGAGTAGATCGTGTATGAAAATGCTCTGTGTTCACAAATGGTGTCGTGTACTTCTGTACTTACGCATTGCGTATATGTCATTGCATTTCTTACTCTTTGGTTCTCTCATGGTGATATATTTCTATTTCTTTTCCTATATGTTGTGTGGATTATACAATTGCGTTTTCCTTTCAGAATGTATTTAGTGACTCTATTTCTCTTAGAAATAAATAATTGTTTATTTATTATTAAAGATTCTCCCGGCCCGGGCCTTTTCCAAGTAATAATTGTTTACTAATTTTTATTGTACAGTTTAAATTCCTGTAAAATAGATTCTGGTAGTGTTTTCAGTAATGGCTGCATTGAATGATCCTACAGACACTACTCACATTGTATTTAAAACAGTTATTTTGTTTCTAGGGATGTAATAGCTTCAGGGGTGTACATGGCAACGTATGAGGTGATAGTTGGCTTCAACACTAGCCCTTCTGCTTATTCCATCATATTGGGAGGGGGTGTAGCAGGTATGTTCTGGACGTAGCGCATGTGTGTGTGTGTGTGTTTACTTTTAGTACTTTCGCATGTTTCTTTGACTTTTTTTTAAATTCACGTGCACAAATTTTTACTCATCAATGCTTTCTTTTACTCTCACGAGCAGTGAATGAACAGAAACTCCGACCGAGGTCCATGCATGTAGCGCGTCTAGCGCTGTACCATCCAGTCACGAGTCCTAACAGGATGATATTGCAAACAGCTGGTTAACACAGTCCATTAGAACCCTTGTGACTGGCTGGTACGGAGCCGGATGATCTGCTCCTTGCATGGATCACAACTAACGTTTCCATCCATATTTCTATTTATTCATTGACGGGTGATCATTATGACTTATATTGGATTTAGAAACTAAATGACTTTGAGGAATGTGATAATAGATGAAAGCTGGAGGGGTGTGGGATGACAGTGGCGTTAAAGTTAGTGGCCCGTAATGCAAACACCTCAGACGGAAATGTCTTCATTCATCTTTAATAGCCGTTTTAAACACTATTAAACAGAATAAAGACAGCTCCGTCATCTCTGACATTAGCCAGAGTTCTCAAAACAATAAAGACCGCCATCACATAGCAACCAAGAGTTGCTACGTACTGGAGTGTCTTTGCACTCCAGCACAAGCTCATCCAGGTCGAGCTATTCATCTGCTTCACACTCATAGGAACATAAAACAAGAATGGATGAACACTGCAGCAAGTCTACCAGCCCATACTAGACAGCTCTTTCTCAAAACTTCCCCAAAAGAATAAGATTTGATAACCTTGTTGTGCAAGCCCCTCTCAAATACACCATTTACACCTATATTTAAAACTATCCAAGGTTTTATCCTCATTGACCTTACTAGGCAGATTGTTCCAAGCAACGACCACTCTCTTTCCATACCAGTACTTTCCTACATCCTTTCCAAACCATTACTTCTAGTACTTTCTTATTCTTATCTCCTCTATTTATGCTCATCTTCCACTTCTGCACTTTAATCATGTCTCCCCTCATTCTGCGTCTTACAAGAGAATACAGGCTAAGAATTCTCACTCTGTCTTCATATGAAAGATTTCTTATGCATGCATTAATTTTGTCATTCTTCTCTGCATGTTTTCTAATAAATTTGTATCCATTATGTAGTACGGAGGACGTACTAATGATGTATAGAACTGTAGTATAACCTCTGGACCCCTATTGTTTATGCTTGATGTAAATCCCAGTTATATGTTAGCCCTATTACTGCTGTCTTGGTTTCAGGTTCCTACTTACCCTAACTCCTAAGTCCTTTTCATAATCTTTATATTCATATCCTATATTATTTATTTTATAAGTTCTAAAGTTATTTAGGTTCGTGAGATTTCGTACTTTGCATTTATCTACTTTATTAAATTGCATCTTCAATGAATTAGTCATGCAGGAACGGCCCATCGTGAATATAATGTTGAGTATCATGAATCAAATTATGCATCGATACCATGCCTAACCCTTCTAGGGTAGGGTAGGTGCCTGAGTCCGAGCCTTTAGCTCATAAGACTGTCATTCCCATTTGCCCCCTTGGGGCGGGGATGGCAGACCAGAGAGGCCTAGCTTGTGGCTAGGCCTGGGGACAGTTGGTCCCATAGATGAGGAGGTACTTGTGCCTCCTACCATGGGAGACTTAGGTCTCAGACACTCCCTAAAGAGGGAGCCAAGGCCGGGCCACCACTTGGAAAAGGCCCGGGCCGGGAGAATACCGGCTAATCTTTAATAATAATAATCAAATTATGCTTATCAATATAGCTTCTTATACAACCAGCTACAATTTGTCTAATAATTTGCCTACAGATGAGGTCAGGCGTATTGGGTGATACTTTTGACGATAATGGCTTATTCCACATCTCATATACCACAACTGTTTCAAGAGATATATTAAAAGGGTATACCTCGTCTTTGATGACTTCCTAGAATTTTTCTGCTCACACAGTCCGGCCTTATACCAGGCTCGACTGGTGCTTGCCTGGTTAACCAGGCTGTTGCTGCTGCTAGTGGCCTAATGATCCACATATCCATTACAGCCTGGACGTTATACGGTGTTCCTCTATTGTGTTCATTGCGCCCCTTCTTTTCATTGGACTTATTTTGCACTTCCATATCTCTAGTATGTTGTTATGGCATAACATAGATTTGTGACAAGGCTCACAAGTACTTTTCAGGTACATATTATTATGCATCTCTCTGCAATCTGCTCCAGTGAGTATATATTTAATTCTTTAAAACATTTCCAAATACTACTTTGGTGGCTCTTTGCGGGGCGTAAACGATCTCTGTATCTGTTACAGCTCTGATATTTCTCCTCCCTTGAACAGGGGCGTCAACACTGACTCAGTTAACAAGAACTCATTTAAAATTAAGTCATTTCTAAAATTTTCTCTTATACGTTTAAAGATACATATTTTAATTATGTTAGTGTAAAAATTTATAATTTTGTACCAAAAGAACCTTAGAAAACTTACCTAACCTTATTATAACAAGCGTAATTTAACTTAGCCTAATCCAACTAAATATATTTTAGATGAGTTTACAATAATTCAACAATAAACAAATACAATGAAATATATTTTTTCGTTAGGTTCAGAATGATTTTTGCGAAATTATTGCATACACTCGCTAAGAAGAGAGTTGCTATTTAAACCCAAATCCCAAGTTTTACCTATTTGGCACAACATATATATATATATATATATATATATATATATATATATATATATATATATATATATATATATATAATATATATATATATATATATATATATATATAATTAAAAAGATAGCTTCATATAACTCATATTTTTGGAGATTTTTATCATATATTGTCAAACATATTTTTATCTTATATTTGAATCGACACCATGCCCAGCCCTTCTAGGGTAGAGTAGGTGCCTGAGCCCGAGTTTGCAGCTCACAAGACTGTCATTTCCATTAATTCCCCTTGGGGCGGGGACGGCAGACCAGAGAGGCCTAGTTTCTCCCTATGAGCCCCGTGAGGGCGGGGAATGTGGTTAGGCCTAGGGACAGTTGGTCCCAAAGATGAGGGAGGTATTTGTGCCTCCTCCCATGGGAGACTTAGGTCTCAGATACTCCCTAGACAGGGAGCCAAGGCCGGGCCACCACTTGGAAAAGGCCCGGGCCGGGAGAATACCGGCGAATCAAGAAGAATCTTATATTTGTCAAGCGAAATATCTCATTTATAGTAAGAATTTACCTTTTACTTCAGTATTTTTATAGTTCGACGATTATCCTTGCATAGTGAACTCTATCATTATTTTTTTGCTAGATCTATGCATACTAAATTTATATAGTTTATGCTACTTTGAAACAAACGTGTTTTGAAGAATGTTTCAGCTCTCCTTCACGATTTTCATAAAACTTTCCCATTTCTTTTAACAACAAAATATATGAGATCGATCTATCATCTTTTAATACATCTGTACAATCATTGCCCCTATTGCATACATCGTCACCTTATTTAGTATTCAGGTTCTGGTTTTTTCATACGGTTACGATATTAACTATTAATTGCTAATTTCAGGCTTCAGAAATTTACCTTCATCCTACACTTTTACTCAGTCACTTTGAATTTTCAGTATATCATTTGAGCGATAACATTCACATTCTTTCTAAAAATGGTGTCATCCACTTCCTATTTTGAGCTTTCTGTGTAAATATTCTCTCGGTGACATTGTTGATATTTGTGGAAACTACAGGAAATAATTTCTGAACAAATTCTTAGGAAATGCATTTTTGTATAATTAGTTAATGAGGTTTGGAATCTATAGACTACACGAGTGTTATTAAGGCTGCACGTGACCTGTGCACTGCCAGTCAAGACAAGGTTAATCCCTAATAAAGATCATTGTCCACATCGCTCTCGGGCCGTGCGGACAGGCTGCGCAGTAGCTCCCGAATCATCTGGCGTTCTGCGCAGTTTTCATATTCGTCTCTCAACTCTTGAGTAGAGAGGACGTACTTGGAACTGCGCTCTGACCCCTGGTGGCAGGTGACAGTTTTTTCATCATGGCGGAGAGTGGCCGCAGACGTGTGAACACTGTCTGTTTGGAATTAGTGAGGGGCGTGCTTACTGCCCAGAATACCAACATGTTGCTGACGGCGATATTGCGGGATATGTACAGCATCGCTAATGAAGATCTTTATGGAGTCTCACTGAATGGCGTGGCACGCATTTTTATCAAGTTCCGGCTGAGCAGTACATATGACAACATGGTGGCCAAGTATCAGGACGTGGTTAAGACGGTTACCCCTGGCGTTAGTGTCCGTCTTCATGACGTATCAAGATTCTACACCTGGGTCAAGGTGCGTAATGTACCTTTCGAGGCAGATAAAAGTGATTTATGGCAGGTGTTTGGACGATATGGGACGATCCACATGGCGACATTTGGACGTTGGCGAGATGGGCCACTAGTTGGCTTCCCTGAAGGGACATTTTCCCTGAATATGTCCCTAAGGCATCCTATTCCATCTTATGTGGGAATGGAGAACTTCCGGACTCAGGTGTATGTAACATACACAGGTCAGAGGCGTACGTGCCGTGTGTGTGGGGCGTACGACCACATAGCGCCGACTGTCCAACGAGACGTGGGAAACCTGAAGCTGAGGCGGGATCTGATGGTACTATGGACCAACTGACTTATGCAACGGCAACGACGCAACGTAAGCCTTTGCCACTGGAGGCGTGGAGTGTGGAGGTGGAGAGGGAGGAGGCGTCGTCGCCTGAGTGTGTAACACTCACTGGACTTGACGAGGACGTAGGCTTGGTGTCGGC